TAAAAAAACAGATATTTTAGATTTCTTGAGCATGATTTTCTTGAAAAGATATGAAGTCACAAATATTGAAAATATATATTTGTATTTTTAAGGTCAGAAAATACAAAAAATGACTTATTTTCCAATTAAAAAGGTTTGTTGCATCAAATAAGTAGTTGCTACAGTTTTTAAAAAACTTAGGTTTTGTTTGAGACAACTTTCTTACGAATCCTTAAGCTTTATTTGGGTTGGCTTTCTTATTGATTTCTAAAACAGTTTTATTTAAAAGATTTTGTTTTAGAAAACTGTTTTAAAAAATAGTAAGAAAGCTATCTCAAATGAGATAAATTATTACATGTGGCCATCGGACTGTCCGGAGACGAATCAAGATAGGCCACGTCACAGTGGTACACAACCACGATACATACCTGAATGGTGACGTAACACGTTCTGATTTGCCTCCGAACAACATCCGGTGACCGCACTCTCCAAAATGAAGCCTTAATGCATATGAAAAATTGGCGTTTCCAATGAGTTTATTACAGCCCGACTGTTTCAACGTGTCATAATATGCTACAATGTTATGTCTGATTCTTGGTGTTTTTTTTTCTTGGCAGCATTCATCAATCGCATGCATACTTCTTAAAGTAAAGTTAGTTTACTCTTTGTCAAAATGTATAGATAATTTTAACTTTTAAGACATTCAACTTTCCTCTAATCTGCTTCTGACATATGATCATGTATTATATTTCCGATCTTGTTCTTTGACTTATTTGATTCACTCACTTCTGTCTTCTCTGTTGTTTGCTTCATATATTGGATTGTTCTAATTGTCTTGTTTGCATATAATAATAATTAGTAAGTCAGTGCCATTATATTTAAGCTGTAATTTGCATAAAATGTTAATATTTTTATACTATGCTAAATAGCATTGCTATGTTCTCATTGGTAATTTTGCAATTGATTTATAGATTACTGAAAGACTAAATGTCTGTTTGGGATGGTTGTAACATTTTATAAAATTGATTGTAAAGCTGTGTGGAGAAAACAACTTCACAAATATGTTCGTAGATCGAAAACAATTTTAAATCTTTGTATGGGACAACTTTTTTATTTTTTTTTATTCAAAAAAATTACTTTCTCCACAGCAGCTTTACAATTACATCTATAAAAAACTACAACCATCCAAGATGGATCCATAAATTTTATGGATTAATAAGATTCAAATAAGTTAAGTCAATAAAATGATAATATTTTTATACTATGCTAAATAGCATTGCTATGTTCTCATTGGTAATTTTGCAATTGATTTATAGATTACTGAAAGACTAAATGTTTGTTTGTGATGGTTGTAACATTTTATAAAGTTAGTTGTAAAGCTGTGTCGAGAAAACAACTTCACAAATATGTTCGTAGATCGAAAACAATTTTAAATCTTTGTATGGGACAACTTTTTTATTTTTTTTTATTCAAAAAAATTACTTTCTCCACAGCAGCTTTACAATTACATCTATAAAAAACTACAGCCATCCAAAATGGATCCATAAATTTTATGGATTAATTTGCATAAGGGAAATATCTATTAATCAACTAAATTTGATGTAGAAGATTCAAATAAGTTAAGTCAAAAGCTCTTACTCTCCTCATTTGCAAATGATTTAACGCTCTCGGAGTTAAGTCAACCCCTCTCCATCTTTGTGGCATGAAAGAAATACCTTTTGGCCAAAAAATTCTCATTCATTAATCTCTATTGCCTCAATGCTTTTCTTTTTTGGATAAAACCTACTAGTATGGCCTATGTGAACGATAATAAAAAAGAAAGATTACAAATATTAATTAATCAGCATACCTCTAAAAAAACACCAATTAAAACAAAACCTACAAGCTGATGATTCAGCCTAATACAAAGATAAGCAAAAGAAAAGAAGACAAATAAAAAAGACAACCACCAAGAGAACCACCCAAAGAGGCCATCTTGAAGAAGCAAAATCCAATGAGGTTCCAAGCAAAACAACAACCCAAGCAAGATGAACATCAATCCCGCCAAGACGAGCATCAAGGAAATCACATGCCCCAGAGAACAAAAATGGCACCCCACCCGATCGCCAACTCAATTATCCAGGCATACCAAACCCAACAGCACAATCGAAATCCACCACAGTCATGTCACCACCAAAAAATTAACTCCCAACAGAAAAGCCAAAGAAGCACACTGAACCCCCCCCCCCCCCCCCCCCCACAAAAAAATCACACCAACAAAAAGAAAGAGGAGGGCCAACAACAGCAGACAAGAACAAAGCAACCATATTTACTTTCTTTTAGGTTTTCTCCTACGACGTTTGCCACCCCAAAAGAAAAAGCTTTTTGAACCATGCGGCCCACCTTCAAATTAAACATCTCATTGAACTCATTCTCAGGCTCATCCAAGTCCTCCCCAACCGCCACAAGGCGAGGAGAAGAAGTCATCAAGCCAATCAGAAAGATCAACACAAGTATTCTTCATTTTCAACCCCTACTAGGCTTTCAAGGAATCGTTAGAAATAATATAAATAGGAATATCAACTAATGGTATTCCCCATTCGCAACAAGAGGCAGAACATGAATCACAGAATCCAAAGGAGAACTATCATATGCAACATCCATTCCACAAGAGGAATCATTCAACACCACTGTATTAACATCACAAAACCCCATGCTCACAACATCCAACATAACATGAGACAAACTAAGACCAAGTTCCTTCGGGTCATCAACAACAAGACTCTCCTTCCTAGCATGAACATCAATGTTATCCATACGCTCCTTATTAAGAACATCAACAACAGAAAGAGAAATAGCATTTGAAATTATTCGAATCTCATCAGAAGCTGCATAAACTAAATTCAATGCAACATTAGGATTCTCGTAAATTGGAATGTGATTTTGCGTAAGGGGAGTTTCCTTATCAGCCAAGCACTCAAAATTTACAACATTAAGAACGGTAATCAAAGGTGAAAATTCATTAATGGAGCTTAAATTATAGACATTATTAGCATCATTGACAGCCAACAAGTCAGGAGGTCTAGAAACAACAACACCACCATAAGCATGGGTGGGCACATGATTCACGATCATAGGGATAACATCTAAATCGGAGAGCAGTTTGTGACAGTCCAATCTCAAATGTCCGAAGGCTTTATCAAGATCACAAAAGAAAAGAAAACTCTCCATTTCAACTCGTTGAATGTACCTCAAGACTATTTTTTAGTACACAAAAATGCTCATCCTAGGTGTATGTGAGTCAAGCCAACTCGTGAGTTGAGTCGGGCTCGACTTCGTAAATGGTTCGTGAACCGAGCTCCATAAGCTAATCAAATTTAAGTCAACCCTGACTTGACTCGATACTTCACAAGCCGACTTGTTTAAAAAATATTAATAAAAAAATATGTTTAAATATATTAGCATTTAGTATTTTAAATACAAAATTATTAAAATTTTTTAAAGATAAATATCTATTTTTTATGTTAAATAATTCTTTATTATTTTCTTTTAATTTCTCATTATTTTTTTTCATAGAATCATAACCATTTTTTTTTTCTTTCGTAATAAAATGTCATGCACAAATCTCCCAAGTCTTCGCAAAATCTCCCAAGTCTTCGCACGGTTTTTCAAATAAATAAGGAGAAGTAACGGATGCCGCGAAGCAGTAGGGAGCATTGTTACGGGTCAAACCGTCTTGGACCGTGCAATTTGACATCTAAAATTCCAAATTGAAGCTATTCTAAGCACGAAAGCGGTAGGCTAAGACTTGACCAATTTTATTTTGGGTGCAAAAACCAATCAAATCATCCAAATCACGCGGTTCTGCGGGCAACCGATAAGACCAACTTTCATTCCCATTTTTTGTTCACACCCCTTCAAATTACCTCGAAGGAATATGCAAATATGACACGGGCGGTTGTCAAAACTGGGTTTCAAGTCGGCTTCGGGTTGAACCCAGGACTGACCCGGGTTCAAACGGGTCGATCATAATCTGACTCGGCTATATAAAAGTATCGGAAGTTCAAACTCGGACCTAATCCATCAGGTTATCACGTTGACCCGATCCGACATGGCCGGATGGCAATGGCAGGACTGCTGACGGTGGAGCTCGCGTTGACGGCGGGACGACTGGGCAGTCGAAACAATGCGCGGGCGGGCAACATCTGATGCGACGGACGGGCGGGTGTTGGCAGCTCTTTACCATTTTTTTCAAACGTGTCAATCCAGGAACTCGAACGAACATGTCAATCCAGGAACTTGAACCCGACCTGTTTGCGAAATTGGTTGACCATATCCCGAAATTTTCGGATCAGGTTCGAGTCGTGTTTCGGATCGTGACAATATTGACACCCATAATGATATATTTTCATTTAAATAAATTTAAATTGTATGTTTATTTATTGAATATTTAAATTTTATTATTTGCATAATAAAATGCTCTATTGATGAAGTTAATGGATGATGAGGAAAAGTTGCAATAGATCTTATCGAACACAAAAAGATCACGACAATGTCTCGTTGGGAAGGGGCTTCGATTCTAATCCCCCTCCTTTCCTGCTGGGAATTGGGATGAAGCTTCCATTGACAGTAACAAGGTCTCATTGGGAAGAAGAGTGAAAATAATTTGTTTTTGAGAGACTTTATGCAAATTTTAATATTTTAAAAATATTGATAATTATTCAAAATGATTTTTTTTTTCATATTTGTTTATAACAGAAATATTTTTTTGTTAATACTTTAAATAGCTATTTTTAAATTTTATATACTAAAGTATTATAGAAATAAAATTAAATAATTAAATATTCGGTATATAAATATATACAATTTTAGTATTTATAAGTAAAATTTTAAATGATGAATAAATAAAATTTATTTTTAAAATATTTAATATATGCAAGATTAATTAAAAAATTTGGCAATAATTAGCTGGCATCCACTTTTACTTTTTTTTACTTAAGAACGTCCGCGTATAATTGTATAAATATAGCCATCGGCAAAATAAGTCCCAGTCGTTCTCTCACCCGTTCTGCAATCTCTTTCGAGCTCAAGTCGGCTTCTTCTTAGTTTGCTCTCTGTCTCCCTTATTTGTATCTGAATCGAGTTGATTTGGATTAGCACCGCGTCATGGCCGAAGGTGGAGCTGAGAAGTCGAAGAGGGTGGTTGTTGTGGGCGGCGGGATCGGCGGAGGCTTCATCGCGAAGATCCTGCAGTCGTCACAGAACGAAGTAACCCTTATCGACCCGTATGGATCTTTTCCCTTCTTTTGTAAACTCAACTTTTGATTGTTAATTTGTTAGTGTGATATATGCTTCTTTTGTAAACCCACTTATTTGTCTCTGAATCTGCACTATGTTCTGTGTTTTTTATGTTTCATGGCAAAATCATTATGAAATTGTATTCCATGATGTATATATTACTTTCCCCTTCCTGCTTCTTTCTGATTTTTGTTTTCGTCTATTCGTATTACAGCAAAGAATACCTTGAGATACCATGGGCACAGTTGAGGTCAATGGTAGAACCATCATTTGCAGAAAGAACGTTGATAAAGCACTCTGAGTACTTAACTGGTGTTACAATCGTCTCATCACATGCAACGAATGTAACTAATCATGAGGTCCAGACAGCAGATGGTCGAACATTTCCATACGATTATCTTGTCGTGGCTACTGGCCACCCGGGTTCTAATAAAGTAAACATAAAGGATAGACTCAGCCATTTTCAGCAAGGCATGTATCTCTAACACCTTTTTAGTTTTAATTTAAATATGCAATATTTGACATGGAAGCAACATGGAGTTCCACCCAATCTATTTGCTTTACTTATTTGAACTTATTCATTTATTTTTCTTATGTTTATATTTTGTCAAATGGATTAAATAGTCTTTGAGTTTACCCTTCCAATCCCAATTTTAAGAGATTGTTTGGTTACAATCAGGATTCTCTTGTAAATCCAGATTTAGTAAAGCTTGAGATGGTTCAAACCTGAAAATTGTTTGGTATGGTAACTATTAAATCTTGGTAAATCATGAAAAAAATCTTGGCTATTTGCTTCATGATCTAAGATTTGTGAGAACTAGAAATCCTTAAATCCATTAAATCCTATGAATGTTGGGATTTAATAAATCATGGATCTGATCAATAACGTGCTTGAATGGAATTAATAAAAATAGGTTTTTTTGAAAAGATACGAGTGTCAAGCATTTGAAAAAAGCTGTACCATGAGGGCAGGTATCACCAACACCACTTGTATTTCAATCTAAAAGTCCCGCGTGATAGTTGGCATCTATATTAGTAATTTTGTGTGCCACTTCAAATAAATAGTACCTGGGGTCTTCTAATGAATTTAACTATGGAGAATATGACAAATCGCATACTTACTAAATTTGTTTACAACCCAGAGTCTTCCAATTTGTCCTAATATAGTACTATGTAGGACTAATTTCTTACCATTTTTTTCCTGACAAGTTACATCGGTTGTATGTATTCTTCTTGCAGTAGTTAGTCTTCTCTTTTCAAAATGTTTATAAAGTTTTAGAGAGAATAACTTCCCTTCTATCTGCAGCTGTTCTGATTTTGATGAGCCTTGCCATAACCATTGTCTTGTTATTTGACTTAATACGTAGTCACCACTACCTTCTATGTCGTTATCCTCATCCTCATGTAAAGGAGTGTTGTAATTGCCTTCTTATTTGACCTAATAGATGTAGTTAACTCCAGTCTCATAAATGCATACAAAAATTTAGTAATTTCCATTATATTTAAGTTTCATTTCTATGTTGTTGTATTTTTCTTGCTGCAATGTCATTGTTTTATAGCATGCTAAAATTATTTCTATCTTCTTATTTGAACTTTTTTAATTAATTTATAGATTATGAGAAGATTAAGTCATCAAATTCCATTTTAATCATTGGCGGTGGTCCAACTGGTGTTGAGCTCGCTGGAGAGATAGCAGTTGACTTTCCGGAGAAGAAGGTGACCCTTGTCCATAAAGGGTCAAGGTTAATGGAGTTCATAGGCCCAAAAGCATCCAGAAAGACATTCAATTGGTTGGTTAAAAAGAAGGTGGAAGTGATTTTGGGACAAACAGTTGACCTGGAGTCTTTGTCAGAAAGTGGAGTTTATGTGACATCAGGCGGAGAGAAGATCTCTGCTGATTGTCATTTTGTTTGTGTGGGCAAGCCAGTGGCTTCATCATGGCTGCATGATTCTATCTTGAAGCAGTCATTGGATAATAAGGGTCAGTTAATGGTAGATGCAAACTTAAGAGTGAAAGGCAGAGATAACATTTTTGCTGTTGGAGACATTACTGATGTCCCTGTAAGTATTTCTTGTGAAAATTTTCCATTTTAACTATTCTGCAATGCCTCTTCTTCCATATCTGATACGCTCTTCCATTACCTCCACAGGAGATCAAGCAAGGTTTCCTTGCGGAGGGTCACGCTTCAGTGGCGGCCAAGAACCTGCAGTTATTGATCAAAGGGGCTCCTGAGAAGAAACTTGCGACATATAAGGCTTCCCCACCAATTGCGTTAGTTTCATTAGGAAGAAAGGAGGGAGTTGCTCAGTTTCCTTTTGTAACACTCTCTGGTTGTTTGCCAGGGAAGATCAAATCGAAGGATCTGTTTGTGGGCAAGACAAGAAAGGCCTTGGGGCTTAAATCCGCGTAAAGGAATCGTCATAGTTGCTCTGGAGTTCTAAATAGTTTTTTGTGCTTGTATTTTTAGTTAAAATGTTTATGTTTTGTCTTCCTGTCTTCTGCTTTCATCGCTATTGTTTTTCAGATGTCCGAGGCTTTGGCGCCTACTTTGTCACTATCATCAATTGAGTGTTGCTTGTTACATTTCAGCTATGTAAAGTTTGTTTTCTGCATATATGTGATCATCAAAATAGTCTGTCATCGTATACAAATATGTGATTTCTATAAATTCTTCATTTCTTAAGTTCTTCAAACATGCTCATCTTTTCATGTTCTTTGCTAATTATTATCCTGCTTTTTTTAGGACTTTTGAGTGCCAATGAACTTACTTTATTATGTGTGATTGTTAGTTATTATTATCCAATTTTTCTTTCTTTCAGTTTTTCTTGTTTTTTCGGTAGTAGAAAGTTAAATTTGCTGTTTAGTGTTCTTTAGATTCTTGTGTAGTCATCTTTAGCTACAGAGTTCGTTTTTAGCTTTAGCATTGATGTGTACAACCACATCCAAAAACCCGGCTCAAGCCAAGCCATCTTGGTTCAAGTTAGCCAACTTTATAAGGGACTCATCACTCTCCCTAAGAACTCACGAAAGAAGGAGAATACATATATGGAAACTTTTTGTTATCAAGAAAACAATTGATAAAATGTTTCAAATAAAGTCTAAGGGGCTGTTTGGTAGCAGGATTTAGGCCGGATTTGAGGCGAATTTGAGCGAAATCCAGCCAAACGGCCTAAAATGCAAAACTAAATCTCACAGCAAGTGAAATCCGGGATAGACGGAAAATTCCGCCGATTCGAGCGAAATCCGGGATTTCGGAAATCCTATATTTTGCGGGATTTACGAAATCCAGGCGCTAGAGTAAGAGTCCTTGGATAAATCCTGCTTTATAGCCAAACAGTCACACATGATTTAACTGGATTTATCATAAATGTTACCAAACAATTTTCAGGATTTAACCCTTCAGGATTTCTTAAATCCGGGATTTGGAGGATTTGCGAAATCCTACTTAAATGAAATCCTACATTCTACCAAACAGCCCCTAAGTGTGCATTTGAGTGGCAACTAGACTGGGCGTGACTGCCGACCGGCGAGTGGGTGGCGTTCAGCTATTTGGGCACGAAGAGAGCGACTAGCGTTCGGACTTTGGGCTTCTCTCTAGTCTCTTCTGCTTCCACCCGTTAGCGTGTGAGAGGATAGCAGGAGTTGAATACAGCCTGGCGCAGCAAGATAGTTAATACATTAGGATGAAAAAAGCAAAAAACAAAAAAAATAATATTTGGTTTATTCTGTAATTAATGTATAAATAAATGAAATTAATTTTATGATATATTATCAAAGTGGCTGACTCAATGGGGGACGTACCCCCAGCGTCCCCATGTTACATCCACCCCTGAATAGCTTTATAGTATATATATGAAAGCAAAATAATAAAAAAATTGTCCCATGTAGATCCAAAGGCTTGGTTTAGGGTCCTTGCGGCGACTTTTTTCTGTTTCTTTAAACAATTTTTTATTTAAATTTTTTATTAAAAAACTGCTTTAGAAGCAGTAAGAAAGTTGCCCAAACGAAGCTTAAATCTCTTTGCTAAGCTATATTGTGGCTTCTCAAATGCGCTCATCTTTTCATGTTCTTTGCTAATTATTATCCTGCTTTTTTTAGGACTTTTGAGTGCCAATGAACTTACTTTATTATGTGTGATTGTTAGTTATTATGATCCAATTTTTCTTTCTTTCAGTTTTTCTTGTTTTTTCAGTAGTAGAAAGTTACATTTGCTGTTTAGTGTTCTTTAGATTCTTGTCTAGTCATCTTTAGCTACATAGTTCGTTTTTAGCTTTAGCATTGATATGTACAACCACATCCAAAGCTCGGCTCAAGCCAGGCCATTTTGGTTCAAGTTAAGCCAACTTTATCCTAGCTCAAAAAGGACTCTTCAGTCTCCCTAAGAACTCACCAAAGTAGGAGAAAACATATATGGAAACTTTTTCATTATCAGGAAAACAATTGAGAAAATGTTTCAAATAAAGCCTAAGTGTTCATTTGAGTGGCAACTAGATTGGGCGTGACCGCTGACCGGTGAGTGGGCGGTTTTTGGCTGTTTGGGCACGAAGAGAGCGACTAGCGTTCGGACTTTGGGCTTCTCTCTAGTCTCTTATGTTTCCACCTGTTAGCTTGTGAGAGGATAGCGGGAGCGGGATACAGCCTCGTGTGGCAGGATAGTTAATACATTAGAATGAAAAAAGCAAAAAAAATATTTGGTTTATTCCATAATTAATGCATAAATAAATGAAATTAATTATATGATATATTACCAAAGTGGCTGACTCAGTGGGGGACGCACCCCCAGCGACTAGCGTCCCCACGCTACATCCACCTTTGCATAACTTTATAGTATATAAATTTCTAAAAGACGAGAGAAAATAATAATCAAACAAAAATCCTGATATGAAAAGCAAACTAATAAAAAAATTGTCCCATGTAGATCCAAAGGCTTGGTTTGGGACGGCTTTTTACTGTTTCTTCAAACAATTTTTTAGTTAAATTTTTTATTGAAAAATTGATTTAAGAAGCAGTAAGAAAGTTGCCCAAACAAAGCTTAAATCTCTTTGCTAAGCTATATTGTGGCTTCTCAAATGCCACCTTTTATTCAAAGTATGTAAAAAAAAATCCTTGAATTTCACAAATGGGTCGATCCGAATCCGAATTTTTTTGGGTTGGGCCCAGATCGGATTTCAGGTCGTGTAAAAAATGGACTCCCCTATTGTTAGGCTAAACTTAGACCAATTTCGTTAATCTGACTCACGCGGTTCGCCAGCCATGCGCGCACTTGTTCACGCCCAAATTTCATCCTCATATATATTTACGACTATTCCCACTCGTTTGGAAGGACAAAAAAATAAGCTTCTATAAATATTTTTAAGAAAATCGTATAGATGGCGCTGCGAACCAATCGCGATTCGTGAGGGCTTGCTCTTCCCGGTTGCAAGTTGTCATCCCTCCCATTTCGGAATCCCTCTCAGGCTCACCTCTTCTTCTCTCTGATTCGGCTTTTCTTTTTATTTAATTTCTCTGTGAGTCGAGTTGATTTGGATTAGCACGGCACTATGGCCGTGAGTGGAGTTGAGAAGTCGAAGAGGGTGGTCGTTGTGGGTGGTGGGATTGCCGGAGGCATCATCGCGAAGACGCTGCAGTCGCGGAGCGAAGTAACTCTTATTGATTCGTATGTATCTTTTTCTTTATTTTTGAAACTCATATATTGATTGTTTTCCCCTTATTTCTTCGTTTGTACAACGCTTGATTATAGGATTTTAGTTTTGGGCTTTCCGGCGTGTTATTTAATATTAGAGGTCGATCGCTCTCAAGCCAATTGATCGTTTTATCATTTTTCTCCTTACTTTTGGAACATCTTTGGTTGAAATTTGCTATTTGGGAGGGAGAGCCATTTCTGTGAATTGTGGCGTTAAATGGTACTATCTTGCATCCTTTGCTATGTGGTATGCATTTGTTGCGTCCTGGAATGTTGGTGGCGATAGAGAAATATATTGTTTAACATCTTAACTTTGTACGAAGATCCAACACGCAATCAGATAAAAGAGATGGTGTAATGTTCATAAGAGACACCAGAGTTTTTACGTGGAAACCCCTGAAAAGGGGGCAACATCACAGGGTTTGGCCCAATTTGAATGAATCCACTAGTGTTTGCAATCAATTACAAATTAGGCCCTTCCTTGGTGGGAAGGCTTTGGTTTGATGTAGCAAATATACATCATATAGAGTGCATTACACAGTGGAAATTAGAGGAACAAACATTGATTTGTTCGTTTGGTTGGTGGGACCATAGTTGGCAGGCAACGAAGGTCGGAAGGACTGTAGTCGGCGGGCGACGGAGGTCGGGAAGATCATTGTCTGGTAACGGGGGTTGGAAGGACCAAATTCGACAGAGGAGGTCAAAAGGACCGTAGTCGATGGAGGAGGTTGGAAGGACCATAATCGGTGGGCCATAGAGTTTGAAAGTCGAGTGATGGACTAATGTTTGGCGTCGGGTAAAGGTTTGACGAAACTCTGGCTACGGGCGAAAGTCCGGCGATGGGCGGAAGTCTGGTGACGGGCAGAAGTCCAACTTTGAGTACAAATCCGACGAGGGTCGGCAGCCGCATGGAAGTCCGACGACAGTCGGTAACTACGCAATGGTTCGACGACAGTCGGGCTGAAGTCCTGTTACGATCGCAACCGAGTGGTGGTCTGACGACGGTCAGGCTAAAGTCTGGAGACGATCGGTTAATGTCGAGCTTGTTCACGAACTTCAAATGATGTTGTTCGCGAACATAAATGAGCTGAACGCATTAGTGTTCAAGTTTGTTTATTTAAGAATCGAGTATTTAAAATATTGTTCAAGTTTTTTTGTTTATTTAATTAAACGATCACAAACAAGCTTTAATCGAACCGAACAACGAGTAGCTCGTCGAACGTTTGGTTCGCTTACAGCCCTAGGTGGAAGTCCAGCGGCGTTAGGCGTACGGGTGGAAGTTCGATGGCCGTCGGCCGCCGGGTGGTGGCCTAGCTACGGTAAGACTAAAGTCCAACGGCAATTAGTGGCCGGGTGGAAGTCCGGTGATAGTCGACAGACTGATAGTGGTTCGACGATGGTCGGGTTGAAGTTCGGCGGCGGTCGGTGGTCGAGTGGAATTTTGGCGGCGGTCGGCGGCAGAGTGGAAGTCTGGCATCGGTCTGCGGACTGTCGGTGGTCCGACGACGATCAGATTGAATTCTAGAGACGGTCGGTAGTTAGGCGGTGGTCCGACGACGGTCGGCGGCCGGGTGGTGGTCCCACGCCAGTTGGGTTGAAGTCTGGCGGAGGTCAGCGGCCTGGTGGAAGTCCGGTGGTGATCGGCTGCCGGGTGGTGGTCCGACGAAGGTCGGGTTGAAGTCCGGCGACGGGCTTGGCCGGGTGGAAGTCCGACGGAAGTTGATGTGGGTTCTCCAATGTTGATGTAGAAGCTTTCTCCAATCTTTAGCCCAAGGTCCCCTTCATGTCGAAAGTGGGGGTCTATTTATAGATTTTCATGAGTGACACACCCCGTAAATATAGAGAAGATTCGAGACAGGTTCAAAGTGCTCCATTCGATGACTCGTATTGATTCCCCATTTCTCCCGATCATAGTGAGTTTTTCAACTGTCTAAGTGCCTTAACGATGTCAGAATTCAGCAATTTTGGGCTCGTTAAATTCGTCTCGCCGAGCCGCTCAATTTGACTATAAGCATGCTATATTTGAATATCATTTTGTCATTCAAATAATATTTTAACCCTTCCAAATGTGGTCCAGGCCCCCGATTTGGACCCATTTGGGCTTGGGTTTGACCGATTTTGGTGTCGTTTGGTTCTTCTCTTTGAGCTGTTCAGTTTGACTATAAGTTTGCTGAAATTGAAATTCAGATGAACCCAAATTTAATTTTGAATGTTTCCAACTTGAAAATGTATCGAGATTCGTGCTCGACCAAAGTAATTTTCGATGACGTATCACATCTAATAAACTTGATGTTCATAGCTTAACTGGTATGCACGAGCTGTGAACACTCAATTAACTGTATTTTCAATAGAACTCCATTCGTAATCTAGCCACGGGAGCATAGTGTTGCTGCATTTTGTGTTGGGATAGGCAAAAATTATGCAAATTTATACGAGCAAGAGCCACCACAAACAAACTGGAACAAAGCAGCAACTTAACGCATAATCAGAGTAAGTGTTAGTTTGTGTGGAATATGATTTTGTCGAGAAATTGGGTTGTATTGTTGTCTTAGACCTCGGTCAAACTTGTAGGGGGTTGTAGGGGGCAGCACTTTCCCTATAGGGTTCGGGGCTTTGCCCCCAAAAATTTTTCCTCCTAATAGTTGTATGGTACTGAGGCGTTATAATATCTTGTTGGAGACATAAATTAGAGCGATTTCTCTCAATTTTCATAGTGAATTTTTTGATGTGGTGTGGCTCCATGATTTTTTTTCTCAATTTTGAATTTTTCTACATAAATTATGGTGAGCAAATGATTGCAAATATTAGGAGTCAGTGGTTAGTATGAGACTCGAACAGGAGTCAACACTCGAGGAGGAGGCCCCTATCTCTTTTTGACCTTTACAATTGTTACCTTATCATGGACTTGAAGACCAACCAACCACTCCTTGAGAGGCCATGTCTTGATTTTCTTTATGCAGTTCGCCATCTTCCTTCCAGCAAGATTACATTAGCCAACTTTATTTTAATCTCTCTGCCGTTAGTTCTTAATCTCTAGCATCACCACCTCAATCACCCGTCTTCTTCATCACTAGACTACTTTAGTCAAAAGAAACTCATATTTATGTATTTCTTTTCCACTATATTCATGTAATTCGGGTCAAAGTTTTAAGAGTCATGTTGTCTTTTAAACCCTCTACATCTCATATATATAAAGCTATTGTGTGACCTTCCCCAACTCCTTTACATGATTTCAAATATTATATTATTTCATAGATGATTACATCCGATTTTGCTGGCTCTATCCGATGCTCCTTGAAGATGAAACAATTGCCAAATTTGTTCAATTTTAAATTGTGGTGGTATAATAATTTCAGACTTTCATTAAATTTCTCCGCATAGAGGACGATCGAGAATATACCAATAAAACCTTTCAAAGCTTACTCTCCAATTGGAGCATTATTCATTAATTCATATGTCCCTATACCCCTAAGCAAAATAGGTTTACTAAGCAAAAGCATGCCATCTTATTGAAACTATTAGAACACTTCTCTTTGATTCAAAACTTTCATCTCATTTTGGGTTGATGCATTACTCATTTTACCATATCTTATCAATGTCTACCCTCACAAATCACCAAAATCATCATATGAACTATATCTATTGCTTTTCAGATAGCAACCATAAAAATATAAAAATAATAATAAAAAAAAATATGAACTATATCTGAAACAACCTAAGTATACTCATCTCAAAATTTTTTGATGCTAATGTTTTCCATGCTTCGACCATATTTGGCTGATAAATTAGCTCCCAAATCGACAAGTTGTGTATTTTTCAGTCATGCCTTCTTACAAAAAGGCTACATATGTTTTGATCCATGTAATATCAGGTTTCTTTCTCTCAAAATGTCCTATTTAATGAGAATGTTATTCCTTTTGCTACTTCAACTGCTCAATCTTCACTATCACCATTTCAAGACTATACATCATGATTGTGTATAATTATAATACCAAAATTACGAGCTAGATAAAACATACCCTCTTTATGAAGAGACATTCTAGGGCAGCCAAAATATATAATAAAATTCTCACCTAATGAAATAATCACAAATATTGAATACTTCAATTAAGTCCGCATAACGTGTTTTTATTGTAGGGCAAAAATTATGATCCACATCTTAATATTTTGTGATATCATCTAGACTTAAGAAAAAAGTGAGCATCTCTACTATTCCTTGATGTATATATTAATTCATCCTTCATGTTCCTTTCTGATTTTTTAATCTATTTGTATTAAAGCAAGGAATACTTGGAGATACCATGGGCACAGTTGAGGTCAATGATAGAACCATCTTTTGCAGAAAGAACATTGATCAAGCACTCTGAATACCTAACCAATGCTACAATCATCACATCACATGCAACCAATGTAACTAATCATCATGTCCAAACAGATGATGGCCAAACATTTCCATTCGATTATCTTGTGGTAGCAACTGGACACGCAGGTTCTACCAAAGTAAACAGGAAGGATAGACTCAAGCATTTTCAGCAAGGTATGTATATAATTCCTTCCCAATTTTAATTTTACTAAACTTAATTGGTTATGGAAGCAAACTTGGGAATTTTATCCAATCCCCAATTTTTTTATATAATGAGCACTCACTCATTATATAATAAAGTTTTGTAATTGTCTTATCACCTAATCTAGTAGATAAAGTTTACTCTCACGAAGGCACATAGGAAAAAGTTTATGACATTCTATTTATATTTCAAGCTTCTAGTTTTATAATGCTAATATTTGTCTTTTCGTAATGCAATTTTGTAATTGATTAACAGATTATGAAAAGATTAAGGCCTCGAACTCCATTTTAATCATTGGTGGTGGTCCAACTGGGGTTGAGCTTGCCGGAGAGATTGCTGTTGATTTTCCGGAGAAGAAAGTGACCATTGTTCATAAAGGGCCTAGGTTAATAGAATTCATAGGCCCAAAAGCATCAAGAAAGACATTCAATTGGTTGATTAAAAAGAAAGTGGAAGTGATTTTGGAACAAACGGTTGATCTACAGTCCATATCAGAAGGAGAAGGAGTTTATGTGACATCAGATGGAGAAACCATCTCTGCTGATTGCCATTTTGTTTGTGTGGGCAAGCCGGTGGCTTCATCATGGCTACATGATTCTATCTTGAAGCAGTCCTTGGACAAGAAGGGGCGGTTAATGGTTGATGCGAACTTGAGAGTGAGAGGTCGCAATAACATTTTTGCCATTGGAGACATTACTGACATCCATGTAGTATTTCTTTCCCAAATTCTTTCTTTAAGGCACATACAATTTGAAAATTCGAGAATTGTTTTCATGAAAAACAATATTGTAGACTCAAGAAAAGTCTTAGGGGGTGTTTGGTATATGATTGGATTCAATTTTAGTAGGATTTACTAAATCCCGTAAATCCGGATTTAGTAAATCATAGGCTCATAAATCCTAAAAAGTGTTTGGTATGACAAATTTTAAATTCTGTAAATCCAAAGGAGATGTTTGGCAACATATTACACGGGCGCCGCGGGAAGAAGTTCTGCAACTCGTTAAATCCGAATAGGAATGGGATTAGGATTTAGACGGATTTACCGGATTTATGCCATAAATCCGTAAATCCTGGATTTACGGATTTGCCGCGGCGCAGATTGCGTTTGGCTGGATTTTCGCTAAATCCTACTAAAAATGACTTACAAATCCGATACCAAACACCCCCTTAGCATATTAATTTTTGGGCTTCTTCGCCATGTTTACTTGCGCAATGCTCTGTTCCCATATCTCATATGCTCCGCATACTTTGACAGGAGCTCAAGCAAGGATTCGTTGCAGAAAAGCATGCTTTAGTGGTGGCCAAAAACCTGCAACTATTGATGAGGGGAGCTCCTGATAAGAAGCTTGAGACATATACTCCTTCGCCGCCCATTGCAATGGTTTCCTTAGGAAGAAAAGAGGCAGTTGCTCAGTTTCCCTTTGGCACGCTTTTTGGATGGGTTCCAGGGTTGATTAAATCGAAGGATCTATTTGTGGGCAAGACAAGGAAGACCTTGGGGCTTAAATCCACATAAATGAGTTAAATTTTATTGTAAAAATGATCTTTCAAGTCATATTGAATATGAAATTTCTCAAAATTGCTCACTCCAGATGTTCTTCAAACATCATCTCTTCACTTTATAGACTAATTAGTTCCTAAATTTTGAAGTTTTGAATGGCATTGATTGTACTTCAACTTGTTTGATGCACTATTATTTCTTTTGTAGTTAAGAATATCTACAAAGCACGCTGTACAAGTTCTTCAACACAGTTGGAGATAGACCTGTCAATATTGGACCCGACCCGAAAATTTTGGATTTGGGTTGAACTGAACCCGAAGCGGGTCGGTTTCGGGTCCGGAAAACCAACCCATTTGCAAAAACGGGTCGGGTTCGGGCTGACCCGGCAACCCGGGAATAACCCGAAATGACCTGAAAAAGACCCTACTCGTTTTGCCTGCCTCTGGTTCCCCGCCTGCCCGCCCATCCGGATGCCTGGTCTGCCCGCGTAGCCCTCGTGGCCTCATGCATCGAGCCGTAGCTGTTGCCCGTGTGACGCGCCAGCGCCCACGTCGCATCGCGACATCGCATGCCGCTCCAGCGCCTACGGCTGCATCGAGCCTGCCGCCGCCCAGCTGGCCGCTACAGCTCCGAACGCCTTTGCCAGCTGCCGGCTACGGTGCTGCCCGTTGAACCTGCCGAACGTCGTTGTCGCAACCTCTGCTCGCTGAACCTGCCTAAACGGGTCGGGTTGACCCAAACCCGAAGCGGGTCAAGTTCAGGTCAGGAAAATCGACCCGTTTGTAAAAACAGGTCGGGTTGACCCGAACCCGAATAGTGTCGGGTCAATTTCAGATTTTACCCGAAACCGACCCGTAACCCGAAATTGACACCCCTAGTTGGAGATCAAAAGGGTTAGTTTACCTATATAAGAAGATGAGAAAGCTAACCATTGATTGAACTCCATAGTGGTTGAGAGCAATTGTGAACAATTTTGATAATAGAGCAGCAATAAGCTACAACAAGTGTAAACTTTTTTTCTATATAAATACTATTATATTTTCTAAACGCAGTTTTGAAAATAAAATTATGAAATTCATAGTCATATTATTCTAGCTATCAAAGATAATGCTCAAGTAAAAATATTTTAACTTTTAAAACTCGTTTAAATTATTTGATTAACATATTGTTAAGAAGAATATAATTTTTTTGAGGAGCTTCTAATGTGATATGAAGAAGGAACCAATTATACATGCAACCTTTTCAAAATTTCAAATTATCTATAAATATTTTATTAAATGTTTATTTTTAATTTTAAAATAAGACAACAAAATAACCCTAAATATTTTTTGATTTTCTTAAATAAAGTAGTTGAGAGCAGGGAAACAAACAGCTCGAGGGAAGTTCTAGGGTTTAGTATTTCCCTCGTCTGCATGAATCTCTCAAGATCACTAGCCGGGTTCCTCTCCTCCTCCAACCCTAAGAAATGGGATATCATTCAGTCTGCTTCCGCCCTGCAATCTATCGCCTTCTCCACCGAGAGGTTAGTAAAAGCGTATCAGAAGAGCTCGAAACCTCCGGCTAAGGCCAAGGCCGACATTCCACTTGAGCAAACGACTTTGAAGAATACGTCGGAGCTACCGCGGCCGAGCTTGATTCCCTTTCAGGCGAAGGTAGCTAACTCTGTCCACCTTGTGGGCACCATTGATACCGGCGTCAAGCTACAGCAGCATTCCGATGGAATTTACGCTTGTGTCTCCATTATTGTTAATGAGAACATGGAGATGCCGAAGGACACCTCGCGGTTTTGGTAAGCTCTTTTATTTTGATTCTTTATGATTTTATATGTTAGGTAGGGTTTGCAAACTTACAGCTGGAATTATATCGCTGCAAAATTACAGCTCTTTTGTTTGTTCTCAGAATGGAAAAGGTTGATGCTGGATTGGGCTGGGATGTGCTCTGAATGATTGTCCTTTGCTTTTCCCTTCCAGAACAAATAGTAGGCTTTATAGTCATCAATTTCTTGTGTGTGTGTGTTTGCTATAGGTGGGTGGGTGGGGAGTGGGAGTTACAAACTTGAAACTGAGAAAGGCTAGAGCTTGTCAACATATTTATTGAGAGCAGAAGCTAAAATATTGTTTTTTTTTTTTTTTTTTTTTGAGTAAGTGTTGCTACTAATAATTTTAAGGACCGATCACAAGAAAGATAAATGACTCGTCCCTCATACTTAGGATATTTTTCGTACTTTGGCTGTGCTAACACATTTTCTAAGTAAAAGGAATTGGATTTCCATAAGCGCATACTATGTTGAAATTGTATGTCCAACCTAGCCTTCTTAAGGAGTATTTAGCCGAAAGCAAATGTCTTTGGGAAGGTTATGTGTTATCATCCTGATAGAAAATCTAGTAACTCTGTCATCAGCTGTAATGCCATGGAACTAAACCTTTTCCAAACTCTCATATTAATGCCTCTATGCATCTCAGATTTTTTTAATATTATGTATGTTGTTTTATCATTTTCATTTCTTTGTTTTTAGCATCATTCATAAATGCGCGTAATAGCATTTTATATCTTCTAATTTTCAAACTTGTTACAGGATCCCCATAATTTTCCGAGGAGATTTGGCTGAAATTGCTGCATGCCATTTGAAGAAAAATGATCTCATATATGTATCTGGGCAGCTTACTAGAGACAATGTAACTTTTACGCATGAGGATACTAAAGAAAATATCAAGGTGTAACTTTATTTGGCTATTATTTGCATGATTAGCTTGAATTTGAACTGTTGGATTGACTTCACATTGCAAACATTTCACCTGTGATATAAGCTATGATGCATTGACACTTCTTCTCAAATAGGTATGCAGTGTTCGACACATATCGGACACGGCATGCGTCCGACACTCCTGTAACACGTATATGACACGCCAAAGATGTATCTGATTAAAAAATAATAAAAAAATTGGACACGTATCTTAAATATTTTATGAATAAAAAGATAATTTCTTATACTTTAAATTTTTATTTATTAAAAATAAAAACTAAATTTCTTATTTTCTCTCTATAGTTCTGAATTAATCGCTCTTACTCAATATACCATTTCCTGAAAATTCTCATTTTATTTCTCTTTAGCGGTTTATAATTAGGGTTTCACAACAACACACAATATTATCTCTCTAACGATGTCAAAATAACCATCTTAACATTAAAGTATGATGATATCTTGATATTAATGCTCGATATCACCAATATTTACACCCACAATCACACCCCTACTATTAAAAAAAAGTCCCCGCAATGTCTCGATGTTCCATCTTTGTCCAACATCATCTCAGCATCGACGACCGACGCCATCTCGACATCGAGGACCAATGCTGTTTAAACATCAAATCTTGACGCCCATTGCACAACATTGATGCCCAATTCTTGACAACATTGTCATCTCACTTCTCAATGTTTGCATGATATTCACCCTCGAATTTCGACTTCCTAATATTAATCATTTTAAACACTGATCCTTATTAAATGACTTATTATTTTTCAATTATTCTTATTATTCTTCTTATTCAATTTTTATACACTATCTTTAAGATATAAAAATTATAATACCGTGTCCAACCTATGTCCGTGTACTATATTTTCAATAATTAACGTTTCCCGTGTCCTTTTCGTATCGTGTCATATCAATGTCACCATATACGTGTTTGTGCATTATAGGATATAAGTTTCAGGGCTTTGTTTTTTTCATCGTTTTCCCACTTGTTGACATCTTAGATTTTAGATGCTTGATCAAGCTATTTTAAGATTATTTTTTTTTCTTGAATTTTCCTTCCCCAACATTTTTTTAATGATGCATTTCCAAATGATAGCGTTAGAGCAGATTCACGTCATTTTCAAACCTATGATGGTTGTTGTGAAATAACCGATGCCAATGTGGTTGTTCTTTAATTGGCAAACACATCATGATCCTAGTTATCCCACACTGGAAGACATCAAAGTGCCGAATGTCCATGATGTCATAGACTTGATTTTCATCTTGGTACCTGACATGATTTCAATATAGTTATTAATAAAGATTTTATGCTATTGAGCCATGATATTGCTGTCATGTGCTGTTTTTTTTTTTCATTTTTGTTTAGCATAGGTGAATTATTTATGAATGATTTGTGGTATTTATTAATTGAATGAGTATGATAAGTTGTTATTACTCCAAGAATTTTGAACTTTGACAAGCAATATTTTTTGAATAATTTATGAAGTGTCAATCACACTCAAGTTAACTTATTGATGTAGAACTAAATGCTTTAAATGAATGAAATAGGAATTTGCACGATTACTTGATAAGAGCAAGTAAGATTAAAACTATTAGCAAATTAAAATGATAATGTAAAACGAGCAAGGGGTGCCTACGCTTAGGCCAAACCACGTGCCGAATGCTAGAATTATCAAAATAACATAGAATATCAATGCAATGCGAATTTAGTAGCTTCCAAACAACATTCCTACGCTAACAATGAGATTAGAAACATAAGGATCAAACTCTCGTCCTACGTTTACTAGGCTTAGCAGAAATATGTGAACAATACCTTCATGAATCTATCAAGTCACAAGAACAAGTTAGACAAGGAGAATACGAGAAAAGGAAGATTGGTAAACCTTTATCACGGTTGGGTTGAAATCCTCCACTGAACGGTCCCAAGTTGTTCTTCTTTGGCCTCGACAAGGGTGTACAGGATGCGCTCTACATACTCTTCGACGATGTTGTCGATGTTTGGGTTGACGTCAAAGAACGTAGAGTGAAGGAGGCGAACAAACCCTTGTTCGTTATAGGCGAGGCCGTAGTCAAGATCTGGATCGGCCATGCATGTTCTTGGGAGGTTGGGATGTTGAAGACGATCGTTGATGCTTCCCTTGAAGACTCCTCTCGAGATGGAGGAGGTAATCTAGAGAAATCAAGAGGGAAAAGGGGAATAGGTCGCCGGCCAAGGATGAGGGCTAGGGTGAGAGATTTGGTTCAGATTTTGGGAGAGGAGATAGAGGGAATTCTCATTCGAACACTTCCTAATTATCCTCTTAATGGAAAATAATCAAAGGAAGAGAGAAAGGGAGAGGGGGAGGGGCGGCGACAAGCATGAGTTTGGGGATTTAAATTATTTCCAATAAGAGATATTCCTCTTTGGAAATAATTAATTATGTGGACTTATGAAATTTCGACCAAAAGGAGGGAGGAGGGATTTTGAAAATCTTTCCAAAAGAGGAGGGGGGGGGGGCGTTAGGAATATCCCCAGAACTCCTATATGGGCAGCGGCTATGGGGCGTAATTGGGTCTCGATTGATGGGGGAATTAAAGCTTCTTGAATTTGGGTTTGGAATAGAAGTTTTTAATTAAATCCAATTGAATTTAAGAATCAATAGATTTAATTTAGGAACTTTCCTAGAATAGATTTCTCAATGTAGGGAAAAGAAATTTGAATTCTCAATTTAAATTTCTGAGAATTTGGAAAGTGAACCTTCCAAATTAAAGGAAGTCATTTATATGGAAGTGACAAGGCGGGGATTTATTTATTTATTATTTTTTTTTGGGGGGGGGTGGGGGGGAGGTAGGGAGGAAGGAAAAAAGGTAGGAAGTAAGACCACGAACCCGACTCGTCTAGGTTTGTGGGTGATGCGCAATTCTCCCTCTCCTAGGGATCTCACTCCAAGCTCTCTCATGCTCTCACTAGAACTCAAACACGTGGAAAATTTTTTATCATTCAATCATTAACATGAAAAGAGAAAAGTGGGGCTATATATAGCCTCGTACAAAGACTCAAGAAAAATAAAAGACGACAATGCCCACAGGGCTTTCCAATGACCTCCCTTAAGTAAGGGGTAAAAATGGAAAGAGTGATTAAGTAAATACAACATGACATAGTAAAAGCAAATAAATAATACAACTCAGAAATACATCGACTCAATCGTGGCCGTAGATTGACGACCACGTCTCTGATAGACTTTCCACGCTTTGATGTCCCCATCATCTCCCGGGGTGGGAGAAAGCTCGGCTCGGTCAAGTAACCGTCTCTGGTGCTCTCATAGATCTCCAATGCATCATGGTCAATCTGCTGCAGCTCTTTGCTATCCAACCACGTATCCTCAGACTCGGGCTTTCCTTTCCACCTGATCAAGTACCTCCGTCGTCCACCTTCCCTTGTGAAAATAATATCATCACTTAGGATCGAGTCCACCTTTTCTGCCACGAGTGATTTAGGAATATTTGGTAGTGGAGGTAGGTTTAGGTTCTCACATAGTGGGGTCATACAAGGTCGCTGTATGAGTGGATTTGGTGGGTTGAAATCAGGACCCTCATATGCAACTAGATCTTCTATGTTAAAGGAGGGATTGATGTTGAATTTTGTAGGCAAATCTACTACATAAGCATTATCATTGATTTTCGTAATTATCTTGAATGGTCCAACACTCTTAGAATGCAGCTTCTTAATTGTTCCCCACGGGAATTGTTCCGGACGAATCCGCACCATCACGGAGTCACCAACCTCAAAATTTTTGTTTCAAATCAGCACATAGTTTGTAATCATTATTGCTCTTTTCAATTTGTCATGCGATTTCTTTATGAAGTCCATGCATATGTGATACAAATGATGATGCATACTCAGAAATCTTATACCTAGAACACATAGGTATAAGGTCTAGTGGTTGTCTAGGTTTGAACCCGTAAACAATCTCAGAAGGACTTAGACTAGTGGTTCGGTTCAATGAATTATTATAAGCAACTCAGCAGTAAGGAGAATGGAATCACAATCCTTAATATGCTCGCCGACTAGAGAACGTAATAGATTGCCCAAGCTCCTATTGACTAGGTCGGTCTGACCATCAGTTTGTAGGTGAAAGGCAATGGAAAATTGCAATTTAGTGTCCATTTTCATCCAAAGGGTTTTCCAAAAATAGTTAGTGAATTTCACATCCCGATCTGATACGATGATTTTGAATAAACCATATAAACGGACGTTCTCTTTGAAATAGAGCTTGGCAATGTAAGAGGCGTCGGATGTTTTGGAGCAAGGTAGAAAATGAGTCATTTTGGAGAACCGATCTACTACAACGCAAATGACGTCGTTCCTACGGATCGTCTTGGGCAGACCCAATGTTTAAAATTGCGTATTCGGGTATTGAGGCGTTTTTCATTAGTGAGGCGAGGCGTATGCCTCAATGCGTTTTGAGGCGTAAACCTCAAAATCAAAAGATTGGGTAAACATAAAATGATAAATTTTTTATATACTAATAAGTGAATAATATAAAATATAAAAAAGCATAAGATATGAAGTGAAATCAAAATATCTCAATAATAAGACAACATGAAATATAGTTCAACTCAAAATTCTATCTTTCCCAAATCCTAGTATTCTTTTCATTAACATATAATTCCAATTTCCAAAAAATAAATAGCAATGACATATAACATAAGAACTCATAAGTCATCAGCACTGTCATCACTAAGGGTTTCTTCATTTGAATCATCATTATGGTGAACTGCTCTCTCCCCTTCCTCCTCTCCTATAGAGTCCAATGTCGGACATTTACTTCAAGATTTATGTAAGTTTTAATATATATAGCGTGAAGCGTAAACCTTATGCCAGTGAGGCAAGGCGGGCCTCAACCAAGTTGAGGCGCAAGCCTCATAAAAAAACTCGAGGCGTAAGCATCGAGGCATTTTTTATTGGAATTGCGCAAAGGCGAGCCTCAAGGCGAGCCTCATATTGCACAATTTTAAATCATGGGCAGACCTAAGATATAATCAATGCTAACGTCCTGCCAAGGGCAACTAGGGACAGGCAGAGGAATGTAAAAACTAGTGTTTTGTTTGTGTTGTTTGGCCAGTTGGCAAGTGTGACACCTACTGACCATCTGACCGACATCTCTCTTCAAGCTGGGCCAATAAAAACGGTACTCCACGGCTTCAATTGTTTTGTCCTGACCGAAGTGCCCAGCGAGGCCTCTGGCATGGAGTTCCCAGACAAGAAATTCTCTAAGGGAGGTGCTAGGGATGCAAAGCTTTTGGGCTTTGAAAAGATATCCATCCTCCAAAACGAAATCGTCCACAAGGCGTGTGCTGTTTGTGAACAATAGAGAGTAGGTCTCCTTGAAGTCGGGGCATTCTAAATAATCCCTCTTTATTTGGTCAAATCTCAGCAAGGCTTTAGTCAAGATCTTGATCGGCCATGCATGTTTTTGGGAGGTTGAGATGTTGAAGACGATCGTTGATGCTTCCCTTGAAGACTCGTCTTGAGATGGAGGAGGTAATCTAGAGAAATCAAGAGAGAAAAGGGGAATAGGTTGCCGACCAAGTATGAGGGCTAGGGTGAGAGATTTGGTTCAGATTTTGGGAGAGGAGATGGAGGGAATTCTAATTCGAACACTTCCTAATTATCTTCTTAATGGAAAATAATCAAAGGAAGAGAGAAAGGGAGAGGGGGAGGGGCGGCGACAAGCATGAGAGGGGCTTTAAATTTTTTCCAATAAGAGATATTCCTCTTTGGAAATAATTAATTATGTGGACTTATGAACTTTCGGCCAAAAGGAGGGATGAGGGATTTTGAAAATCTTTCCAAGAGAGGAGAGGGGGGATTTAGGAAATAAATCCCCAAATCTCTCCTATAGGGGCCGGCGGCTATGGGGCTAATTAGGCTTAATGATGGGGGAATTAAAGCTTCTTAATTTGGGTTTATAAATTATGAAAGGTTTTAATTAAATCCAATTTGAATTTAAAATTAAAATAGATTTAATTTAGGAACTTTTCTAAAATAGATTTCCCAATTAGGAAAGAAATTTTCAATTTCAAATTAAATTGAAATTTGAAAGTGAACCTTCCCAAATTAAGGGGGAATCATTTATGGAAGGTGCACAAGATGGGGATTTAATTTTTCTGAGTAGTTTCGGCGGGTGAGGGGAAAGGAGGATTTCGGTGAGGGCGGAGGCTTGAACGTTGGTGGGGAAAGGGGGTGGTAGGGCCGACGGTGGAGGTTGGAGGAGGAAGGGAAAAAGGTAGGAAGTAAGACCACGAACCCGAATCGTCTAGGTTGGTGGGTGATGCGCAATTCTCCCTCTCTTAGGGATCTCACTCCGAGCTCTCATGCTCTCACCAGAACTCAAACATGTGGAGATTTTTTTATCATTAACCTGAAAAGAGAATAGTGGGGCTATATAGAGCCTCGTACAAAGACTCAAGAAAAATAAAAGGCGACAACGCCCATGGCGCTTACCATCGACCTCTCTTAAATAAGGGGTAAAAACGGAAACAGTGATAAAGCAAATACAACATGACATAATAAAAGCAAATAAATAGTACAACTCAGAAATACATCGACTCAATCATGGCCGTAGATCGACGGCCATGTCTCTGATAGACTTTCCATGCTCTGATGTCCCCATCACTTATATAATTGAATTTTTGGAGAAATGTTCATGATAATTAATCTCGTTTGTTTTAGACAACCAGTGCTGTTTAAACAATGTTTTCATCTTTCTGTACTTTTAATAACTTTAACCTTTTAAATAATTTGTAAATTGTGAATGTTGTTTTTCTGTTTTACTTGGTTCTTTGAACAGTAATTATGTGGAATGCTAGGTTAAATCTTAGCAAATATTAGCCAGGCTAACTTGCAAATACTTATTTTTTTGTAGGAAAAAATAAACATTGTTTGAGATAATGATTTTTCTTATATAATTTTCCAGGTGTTTATCATTCCTATATTGCGATTATGCTTTTTATGCTAATTTCAATTTGTTGTCTTATGTCGAATTTTACATGTTATTGTTGTGAAACTAACATGCAGGCTATGATTTTTTAGCTTATAGCTCATAGCCTGAACTTTGTCAAGGATGCTTGTTCACCAAGAAGAGGTGGATACATACAGACGCAGGATGAGGTATCTACTTCTGATTCAGGTATTCCAAGTCTTTTGATTGTTTTTCTTGCACTTGAGTTTAAATTTTATTCACATTATTGATTGCACCTTTGTCTATTTATTTATTTTGTTTCATTTAAACATTTTGAATCAAAAGCAAATGATTTTTTAAATGAAATTTCGGTTGATAACTTGGATTGCACCTTCTAATTATGCTCTGATTTTGATTATTATAGTGCACTGAATCTAAGGCAAACAACATGGTGATTACATTTTATTGTTCTTGACTTTTTAACTATGCTTGGCAGATTAAACCCCTAAATTATTTCTATTCATAACTCGTTATCTGTCAATTGGATTTTGGCTAATATCCTAATTGAATGTTTCCTTTTGCTTTTATATATTCTCTGTTAGTTGAAGCGGACCCTGCCCGTCCAGACGCACAATCCTCTGAAGGTGATCCTCTATTGTCTTTTATGCAATTATTTATTTGCTATATTTTTTGCTTTTTTTGTGTTCAAATATTTCTCACGCCTCTTTTTGTTTACTTCTTTAAAGCACATATATCTTTTTGGAGTGATGGTATGTGTTACTTTTGTAAGAATAAGGTAATGTTTGTTTGTAATGTCAACATGAATGGAAGAGAAATATTCATTTCTTGACTCTTGAAGCAATGATCTAAGTGTTATTGTTTCTTAATCATTTATTCATTTGCACATTTTTTTTGCTTTAATAGAATTAATAGAAAAGTAGAAAAGGTGAACAAATGGTTAGTTTTAATTGATTTTGAGAATATGTATGAGCAAGAACCATGAAAATTAATTTGTTGTGCGTTAAGAAAGTTTTTTGTCAAAGATATGTTGAAGTTATTAAAAATATGTATGATGGAGCACTAACTAGTATTAGAAATAATTTTAGAATGATTAAATAATTTTTAATTATTGGAACACATGTATATTTTATAAAAGGATTTATCAGCAAAATTACCACGGATATAAACTATGTTTATAAATTTTCTCATACACATTGTGAATTTTCCTTTGTCCTTAATGTCAAAGAAAGTAATATGCTTATTATGTATCTTGTCTTAACGAGATTGCAGTTTTGTTATGTTAAAATCTCAGTCGTCCCTTGACACTTGATCCCACGACTAGAATGGGAATCTATAGGAGGCTCACCTGGACCATGCCGATCTCTGTTTAATCCCAGCCGTTCCTTGGCACTTGATCCCACGATTAGGATGGGAATCCGTGGGAGGCTCACCTAGATCACACCGATCTCCCATATTTGGGTGTCTGATTTAGGAAGGATTATATTAAGACAATTATGCATGATTCTATAGATATTTGTTTCTTTATTAAGACATCTTGTATATATCTATAAATTGGGATAATTTTATATAATAAAATTAAGTCTTTTCCCTCTCCAAATTCTCTAAATTTAACATGGTATAAGATCCTTGAATCAAAGGAACCGGAGATGAGAAACCAGCGTTCATTGTCGGAAATATGAAGAATACATCCCACAACCAACCTTCATTGCCAGAATTTTGAGAAATGTAGGTTTCCACCACCGGCCTTCATTGTCAGAATTTGAAGAATATTGGGCCTTCCACCGGCCTTCATTGTTTAAATTCTAAGGAATATTGGATCTTCCACCAACCTTCATTACATGAATTCTGAGGAATATTGGTCCTTCCACCGGCCTTCATTGTCAGATTTTGAGGAATACTGGTTCTCACCACAGGCCTTCATTGTCTAAATTCTGATGACCTTCGTGCATCCAAGACCGAGGTATCGAGCGGTATGGCTCCTCTTGCGTGCGATGTATAGAGTCGATCGAGCAGAAGCGATCGTGGGACCTCCTCCTGTGTATGTTTGGAAAGAGCCGAGAGTTCTCTCTCATGCGGGGGCAGGGACAAGCAAGGGTGTAAGACTTGCACGATCATACCATAGGGATCAGAGGCCTTCGTGCACCTGTACTGGCCTATCGAATAGAGTTTGTTTAGGTGACGTCGGATGACCTTGAAGGAGGAGATCTATGTGTTGAGCGATGAATCACTTGAGACTTATGTTTTTGCTCTTATCCTTGAAGCTTGCCGTAACCTAAAAAAATATATATTTTTTCCTTTTTTATTGTCGTGCCTTCATTGTCGACATTCCCTTGAGAATCGAGAGAGACGGACCCAAAGTATAATTAATCCACTTTTCCTGTTGTCCCTCTACCAGCCTTTATTGCCATTTTCAATATCTTAAGGGCTATTATTCAACATAGCCTTCATTGCTGCCTTGCACATTGCAGGCTTGATTGATATAGCCTTCATCCCTATCATTTGCTGTTGTTGCAATATCTAAAGCTAATTCCTCCCTCAAGTTTTGACCAAATGGAGGTCTCTATGGTGCACCAAGGGACATACTAACTCTACCTTTTTGCTACTAATTTCCAAGCTGAGAATGACATATATGTATTCCCCAGCTTTAGGGGGAGTATTAAAATCTCAGTCGTCCCTTTACACTTGATCCCATGACTAGGATGATAATCCGTGGGAGGCTCACTTGGATCATGCCGATCTCTGTTAAATCCCAACTGTGCCTGACACATGATCCCATGGTTAGGATGGGAATCTGTGGGAGGCTCACCTGAATCACGCCGATCTCCTTCCATATTTGGGTGGCTGATTTAAGAAGGATTATATTAAGGCAATTATGCATGATTCTACAGTTATTTGTTTCTTTATTAAGACATCTTGTTTAGATCTATAATTAGGGATAATTTTGTATAATAAAATTAAGCTTTCTCCTCTCCAATTTTTTGAATTTGACATGTTATGACATCTTTATCTTGGTCATTTAAATTTTATTCATTTTAAAAAATTATTCATTCTTTATTTTGGTGTGAAATTTGTCAACTGTCAACCTTTTTTTCCACTCAAAACTCACATTCAGGAGAAGAATTATTAAAATCTTCACTAATATTGATTATTGATTGGATTAGATCTATAATTGATCGTAAATCTGAATCTGGCTTTTGCTGATTCCTATGAGGAAATCTAGTTTTTTGGAGAAATAAAATGTAGGCAGTTGTTTCTAGAAATAGCGTTGAAGTTGAATTCAGGGCCATAGCTCATGATTTTTATGAATGAATGTTGCTCAAAAGTTTTTGAAAGATTTCAATATCCTCATTAAAGAACAAATGAGAATGATGTTTGATAACCAAGCTCTAATTAGTATTGTTAACTATCATGTTCATCATGATAGAACTGAGCATATTGAGATTGATAGGCACTTCATAAGAAGAAAACTGAATAAGATATCATCAAAGTTATCTTCACTCTGACAAAATATTAAACAACAGATGTCCTTACTAAACCTCTAAATGAAATCTGATTCAGCATTATCTTTTCCATGCTAGAAATGATCAATTCCCATCTTGAGTGGGAGCGTGGAATTATAATTAGACAATTAACGCCCCTTCCTAGGACGAAAATTACTTGATGATGCAAGAATTAAGGACTATTCAACAAAGGAAATGTGCCGCAATCAATTTCATAAACCATGCTCATAATTTCATCAGTCAAATATAACTCTTTTGATGAGATATGTTTCTCCAGAATTTGAGAGCTAGAATTGCCACCCAAATTATCTTCCATGTGGACAATTTTTTTTCCTTATTTTACTGCATTTTACTTATCATTTATTTTAATTAAGGGAATATTGATTCTTTGTAATATTTTGTAATGATATTTTTTTTTCTTTCTACCTAGTCCCTTGATTAGGGGTGTCAATTTCGGGTCACGGGTCGGGTTCGGGTCAAATCCGAATTTGACCGACACTATTCGGGTCATCCCGAACCCAACTCGTTTTTGCAAACGGGTTGATTTTTTGGACCCGAACCCGACCCGCTTTAGGTCTGGGTCAACCCCAACCCGAATGACCCAGTGCCAATAAAAAATTATTAGTTTTCGGGTCTAAAAATGGGTCAATCTCCGCTTTACGGGTGAAAAACGGGTCAATCTTGGGTTGCCGTGTCAAAAACAGGTCAATTTCGGGTCAAACGGTCAACTCGAACCAGACCCAATTTTTGAAATGGGTCGAATTGTTGAACCCGGACCCTACTAGTGACCCGAACCCGAAATTTTCAGGTCGGGTATTTGGCTCGGGTTTTCGGGTCGGGTCTAATATTGACACCCCTACCCTTTATCGACCCCCTTAGGTTTGTCTTGCTTGCCTACAGATATTGTACTTTGGCTCTTTCATTGACATAATAACTACAATCAAGCCCTCTTCTCTGTTTATGGAATTTTTATTGTGTCCTCCCACCTGACGTAGAGATACGTCCTCCCAGAGCTAAATTCGCGCTAAAAAACGAGAAATACCGAGCATTTAATAGGACACAATGGAGAAAAAGGATTCATGTAGCCGACCCCACGTAGTGGGATAAAGGCTTGATGTTGTTGTTGTTGTTGTTGTCATTATGACTATTGATTCAAGGTGGCTTATGACTGTGGATGATACATTCTTATTCATCATACCCATCATTATCATTATTGTCCTTTCAACCAAGCAGCTTTTAAGTTCTTCCCAATCAGTCCGATTAAATGTTGTATTTTTTTCTAATTAAAATTTTATCTTTCACTTTGTTTAACTTCTAACTATTAGTATCAGTGCTGATTGTACAATGCAAAAGGCATTCTGTTTAGGTTTTGCAATCATCTCGACAACTTCAAAAGTCATCTTGGCTAGTATATCATATATTTGGCACATATGTGGATATCCAATCAAACATAGTTTACTAAGTGCTCTTCTTTTCTTGAAAGTTCATTGTATTATTGTGAATACATTGTTGAGCAGTTCCTAGGTAATTATTCATGTCCTTGAGATTTAAAGAATCCTCTATTTTGGTCCTATTTTGTTCCAACTTACTGACTTTTTTATTCATTGAACGTTCAAAACCTAAGTATTGAAATAAAGCTAATCTCACATCTTGGTCCTGTCATTTCATGTCGGCTTTTGCTTGCCCTTTTGAGGTTTGAGTCTTTAGGTAAAAGCCAAAGAGCGGAAATAAGCAACTGTGAGGAGTGTAATAGGTCCGAGATCAGGTTGGGTTGGTGGATAGTGGGTGAACACAATGTTCATGTTATTTTAGAAGATGAACTTACTTTCCTGGAGTTGAAGTTTCATCTCTTTTTTTTTTTCGGTATTTTTTTGTTTCGTGTGCAGGCCAAGGGGGTGGAGGTGGGTGTTGCTGAGTCATGGTGATTGTAGCAGTGACATTTGGTCGGCCTAAATTTTAGTTATGCGGGTTTGGGAGATTCAAAGAGAGAGAGGTGCCAATATTGAAAGGAGGGAAGAAAAGTAAACTAGGGATTTTTTTGCCAATTCACCTAAGAAAGAAGCGAAGGTGTTGGTAGAGAGAATTAGCGATGTCCTGAAACTTGATTGAATCAGAAAGTTTATAATACTATCATAGTTGGTATTTGCAGCGATCCATCTTTTGGGGCCATAAATTGAAGACATAATGGCATATTCTTACTGTATGACAAAAGTTATGGTAGTTTTAACCACGTGATTGCAGTTATCAGATTTAGGCCTCGTTTGAGACTGCTTAATTTCGCCTTTTCAGTTTCGAAATGGAAGAAATTTTTGTTGTTGTTATGTATGTGCCATTTTTGCATAAATGCTTTTTAGAGAACTGTATTTTTGTACTGTTTTCAAAAGTTTTCTGATGTTAACTTCTCTATTAGAAAACTCCGTTCTCTCAAACAAGTTTTAAAACTATCTTGTAGGAAAGGTACATAATAGCCTTAGTGGATGACTCAAACTCCACATTGCTTTATGTTGCTTAGCAACTATTATCTTTTTGTTATTTCTTTGCATTTCATGTTAGGGTTCATTGAGTTATGATTTGCATTTTGCCAATCTTGCTCTTATTTCTTTTCTGCTAGTTGCTCCTAGTGTTAAAACATACAATGAACTCTTTCTCTTGTACCCGCACGTTTCAGCGGTATTCTAGAAGCTAGCCTTGGTCTCTCATAGAGATTGAACTGTAATATATTTGCATGCGTATAATCTAAATTAAGCATTTTGTATCTTATTATATAGGTGACACGAAGACATCTGATAATGTCAAGAGACTGTGGGATGAATTGGTTATTGATCCTGAAAAATGGTTGGACAATCGGGAAGGGAAGCAGAAGGGACTGGTGATTAATTTTTTGTATTATTTGTTGGCTTGATTGTTCTGACAAGAATCCCTTTTTTTTATCTTTTTTTTTATTTTTAGCAGGGGTTATTTTGTCATCTTATTATTATTTGGCATCTGCTATACTGCAGTTAAGTACCAAGAATCCAGATTTCAAACACAAAGAGACAGGGAACGGGTTATGGCTAAACACTGCACCTAGTTGGGTGGTTCCAAGACTTGAAGGGTTGGTGTTTGGTGACAGTGGTAGCACGACAAAAGTTACAAAAAGCAAATTTGCTAAAAGTGCTTGCCAAGGTATATCAAAGCCCTGATTCTAAAGACAAAAACAGCGAAAATACTCTTCCAAACTCCAAAAAAAATTAAAAAAACAGTAACTTTATTGCGATAATCAAACTAATGGAAAGAAATAGCAAGATACAATTGATCCTCTATTCGAGAGGAGGATCATTCTCTCCCAATCTCTAGACGCCGCTAGAGCTCAAAACCTAAAACCTAAGAGATACCAAATTTCAGCCAAATTCAAGATGCCCTAATCCTAGGAAAATAACCAATTTAATTCATACAATTAAATAGGAAATCCCTAAACAGCCCCTACTTTGAAATTTCCCTACCAACTCCCTTCAAAAACCTTCCTAAACAGCTCCTTGAGGAAGGTGGCCGGCTCCTGCATATAGGAGGCAGAGGCAGAAATTCTTCCGCTATTTCCTGTAAGCCAGCCCGTATGGACCGGCTGGACCAGTCTAATAGTAGCTTAATATTAATCCAGTTTATTGGAATTGCTGGTGTTTTTTTTCTTTTGGTTGATGAAGTTGATCCTTATCTTGTTGTATGCTAATATTAATCCCTGCCAAATCATTGGCCACTCTTTATTTTTATTTGTCATCTTATTGACATTTTGCTAATTCAATCCCCCACCATCTACCCTGTTTTCATAGTATTTGAAAACCTTATTGAAGAAATTTCATACTTTTATTCAACATTTGATTTTGACCTTATTTAACCAGATGATCTGTGGAAGAGACTTATCGAAAATCCAAAGCAATGGTGGGATAATAGATCATCAAAGGTAACCATTACTGTTCTAGACCTGTTTTCAATGTGGTTTTCTATTGCCACTACAAAAATAACTGATATTGCTTGTTTTTTGTATGCTTTTCTTTGCAATATGCAGCTAAAACCAACCTATCCCGATTTCAAGCATAAAGATGATGGTGACGCTCTGTGGCTCAACTCAGCACCATCATGGGTTTTGCCAATGTTGCCTCCACAACCAGCAGGAAAGAATGTTAATAATAAGTAGGCTGCTCGCTATAATACTCCAAGACAGAGCCGGGAGACCTTTCTGATTTCCTTAAAAGAAGATTTCGGTCTAATACCTTTCCAGTTGCTAATTCTATATGAGAAAAAGTATATTTAATTGAATGAATATGTTATTATGCCTATGGAACTTACACTTCAATTCAATGCATTTTACTCTTATTTAGTTTCAGAAACATTTGCTTTTTGTAATGGAAAGAATGATGCTTCATAGTTCACAGTGCTTTCTAAATTCAGATTTAGGTTCATTTGGGATCATTTTTTAAATATTTTTTAAAACAGTTTTTTTTAGTATAGGGAATTTTTGATTTTTTTTTTTATATTTACAATCTATTTGAGAAAACATTAAGAAAATTGTACAAAAGGAATTCAGGTGACTTTCTTATTGCTTCATAAAATAATTTTTTAGTACAAAATATTTTTATACCAAAAAAATTTATGCTTTGAATATTCTAACTTTGCTTTGACCTCCAATTTGGGCTCAGATTGAACCAATTTTTGTGTCGTTGGGTTCGTCTCTTCGAGATGTTCAGCTTGACTATAAATTTGCTGAAATTGAATTTTGGATGACCACCAATTTAATTTTGAAAGTTAACCACTTCATTATGCCTTGATCAAGATCATTTTTGGTGATGTATCAAGTATAAATAATAAAAGTGTTTGTATTTGTAGCGTGAAAGATAAACATAGAATGATCTATGGTACTGCTATTGAACAGATTAATTACTGCAGTCCTTGTAAAATTTGCCCAAACTAAGCACATAAATTTGAACCATAGAAAAGTTTCTCAATGTAAATACCCTCCTCCGTATCTCCATAAAGAAAGTAATTGATACTTAGAATTGTGTGAACGAAGGAATTTTTAACCCTTAACAAGCAATGAGTGTATGAGAGAGAGAGAGAGAGAGAGAGAGAGTAAAAAATTAAAGGAAAATTAGCCACTGAGCTCCAGGAAACGACGAGCCATGGGATGGCGAGCTTGAGAGAGCAGGGAAGGAGAAAGCACTTCAACCACCTCACCAGCAACCAATAAGCAAACAACATCAGCAATTCTCTGAACCTGCTTCACACTATGAGACACAATTACCACTGTCATTCCCTTCGTTTTTTTCAGTCTCACTATTGCCTCCTCAATGTTTTGCGTTGATATTGGATCCAATGCACTCGTTGGCTCATCCAATAGTAGCACCTAAATTCACCAAAAAATAATCAAAACTTCAAATCATACAAGTTCAGATCTTTAAGCCATTGTTAAAGAAACCGACAGAAAAAAACTGTCATAAATTTTAGCGAAACCGCCGGAAAAAACAGCCGGTAATTCCTGAGTTCTCTGTAGTGGTTGTACCTCGGGATTATTTGCAAGTGTGCGGGCAAGGGCGACTCTTTGAGCTTGACCCACTGAGAGATCTGAAGCAGGTTTTGATGAGAGGGAGGGATCTATATCTGCCATGCTCAGAAGGTTCCCAACCTCAATGTCACTCAGCTTCTTCCCCCTTAGCTCTGGACCATATCTCACATTGTCTGCTACTGTACCTGCTTCATTATCATCCAATTGAGTGGCAACTATTCATAATATTGAAATGTAATAAATTTATGAATTTGCATATATCACAATTAAGACTTCGTTTGAGGCGACTTTTTTTTATTGATTCTTGAAGCAGCTTTTTAATATAAAAATTTAAAAATGGCTGCGAAAACAGTCAAAAACGAAGCCTATATGAATGAAAATTTTATAAAAGCTGAGATTTTATCATGCTTTTCTATATTAGAGTGGTATTACAGCACCATTACTGTGAATGAGAGTGATTGAGGCTTATTTTTATAAATAAAAAAATATTAGTTGTTAAATGATGAATAAAATATTAAATAGTTATATAATAATAAAATATTTGGAGATCATTTGATTATTCTAGTTTTTAAATATATTTGAAGTATTCCATTTGGGTTTATTAGAAGTTGGATTTGATTATTTTTAATGTTAATGGGTTCGTCTAATCAATCCGTTCAGTTTAACCATAAGTTTATTGAAATATATTTATATGATTTTGAATTTAATTTTGAAAATTTTTAATTTAAATATGCAATCTTTATCCGATGTAGTTGATTTATGCTGGTGTATAATTAATTTTTCTAAATTTAAATATATAAATTCTGAAGTAATTAAGTCATTAAAATATTATATAAATAAATATTAATACTTAAATATGATATATATAGATATAAAAAAATTATATGATATGCATGAAAATGCCCTAAACAATTGCGTGGAACTAGAGAAACGATTACGTGGTGCGCTGCACCGGTTCACCCGACTGGTCGGTTCTCAGCGGTTCGGCGGCAGATGAAGACCGGTCGACTAAACCGGAAAAAGGTTCGGATGGGCCAGACGAAGTCGTGTGGATTCGGCCATTTCTGGGAGCGGCGGCAACATGGACGAGATACGACCTCCACCGGTTGAACCGTTTCCAACAACTTGATATTTTCCGTACTCCGCGGATTTATTCCGCCACTCACTGCAGTGATGGGACTTGTGGGCCCCACGAAATACCTCCTTCCCCTCTCGTGTGTGTACTTCGCGGTACCGCCTACCTCGTCCTTTTAATCGCATGCCTAAACTCACCTCCGGTGACCACACTATATTTTTTTTCCTTAATAGCGTGAAGCCTAACTTGCAGTGTTTGATTATTAAGATAACATAGAACAAATTTTATTTGTTTACAACTTCCTCACCTTTTAGTTTTTTAAAAAAATTATGATAGAAAATTTTAATGTAATATAATTTATATTAAATTAAATTTATATCTTTAATTAATATTATAGGCTGAGATAAATTTTTTCCATATAGATTGAACTGAATAAATTTGTCATACAATTTATTATGACGTATTTGAAATAATTTGATCATAAGTATTATGGTTTATAATAATGATAAGATTAATATAATTAAAAATTGATGAGAATTCGTTCAAGAACTATTAATCATTTTTTGTTAATTTTTTTTTTTATATTATGTGATAAACATTAGTGTTAATATCAACGACCTCTTCTATTGAATAATAAATACAAAATAAAGAGCATAACTCAGTTTGATAGGTTTGTTGGAAGTTTTGACTATCAATTAAGAGAGTATTGAATTTGAAGTTTGCATATATGATTTGTGTGTGTGAGCATGGGGCGGAAACGGCCATAATTTTCAAGGGGAGCTTATAAATAACTGTTGACAGATACATCGGGGGTCTAAGTGGGCAGCGCCCCTTAGTGAGGTTCGACATGTATTTATTGTTATCTTAGGAAACAATGAACAAAATACAAATTTTGATAAGTATTTTGTTCATATTTTCCTAATAATAACACATCTACACAATGTGTTTAATTATATTGAGGGGATAATTGCCTAAAAATTCTTGTAATAAAAATTAAAAAATAGATTGAAGTGATAAATTATCTAAAGAATCTTATAATAAACAAAAAAAAAATTTAGGGAGGAAAATGTCCCCCATGCTCAAAGGGGTTCCACCCTTATGTGTAAGTTTATCTTAATTGATTCAAAACTAAAAAAAAAAAGAAAAAAAAAACAACATGAACAAAAAAACAACAAAGAAAAAAAAAATAATTCAAAACGTTAAAACTCCCTAACAAATTTAACAAAAAAATTCATGCCACAATATTTCATTAAGTGGATTAATAAATTTATGTAATGGTGGAAGAAACCATCTTAAATATATTTGATCCATTTAAGTAAGATCCAAAAAAAAAAAATTTTGTCTCCAAGGACTGTGTTTGTTTACCTTCGAAGAGAGCGGGGAGCTGGAACAGCATGCCGACGCGGCGGCGGAGGGCAAGCACGTCAAGGCTGCGAATGTCGGCTCCGTCAAGAAAGACGGCGCCTGCCGTAGGTTCCCATAGGCGGTTCAGAGCTCGAAGGAGCGTTGACTTGCCGCTGCCGCTCGGTCCAATGATCCCCACCACCTGACCTAATGCCAGCTCCAAACTCACTCCTTTAAGTATCTGCTCGCCGGACTTCTCAGTCGCCTTGCAGAGGCTCCGAACGCTCATCTTCACGGCTCCCGGCACCGACGGAGGCGGAGATGGCAGATCGATGTCGACGAGCAATTGCGCTCTGATATCTTCTTCTTTATAACATAAAGAAATATTCGCAGCTGATCATATAGAGTAAAGAGAACTTCCATTGAATCAAGAATCATTGAAACAGGTTTTAGAATTACCCGAAGATGTGCCCATTTGATGAGCTGGAGAAGTTCACTGAAAGCGCTTCTTTTAGAACACCGAAAGAAGAAAGGAGGAAGAGTTATATGGAGAAAGAACTGATCTTTTCGATTGGAAAATTCGTCAAGTGTGGCGTCGGTTTATAATAAGTGGCTGCGGGGATCTGTTGCTGATTTGGTCTTCTGAAAAATTATAAGTCTTTGGGCTTATGGCGATAAGGACATCAGCCATTTAGCTTACTGCACGCAACTCATCTTGGTTAATAGTTTCCACCACCAACTAAAAAGTTTTGAATTTAAAATTTCGTATAAGCGAATTGTTGCATCCTGGAATATTCGCGGCGGTAGAGAAATATATGATTTAACGTCTTAGCATTGTACGAAGATCCAGCACACAAGCAGATAAGAAAGAGGGTGAAACATTCATAAGAGACACCAGAGTTTTTACGTGGAAAACCCCTGAAAA